CTTGAATTGGTCTCTAAACTAAAAAAATTCATGATTTAGTCCTTAAAGTTTCTAAATTTGGACCCTTGAATTGGTCTCTAAACTAAAAAAATTTATGATTTAGTCCCTAAAGTTTCTAAATTTGGCTTCAAATTGGTTCCTTTGTTAAAAAATAATTGATATGTGGCTCATAAATAACAGTTTTCTGCCATTAAACAATGGACGCGTTTGTTATTTTTTAATGAAAAGATTAACTTAGAGTTAAATTTGAAAATTTCAAGGAACAAATCAGAAATTTTTTAACTTAGAGACCAACTCAAAGTCTATACAATAATTGAAGGATCAAATTAGGAGTTTAACCTAAATGAAATCTAGTGCTATTCCATCCCAAAATAACTTGGGTTTAAAGAATATATAGATTTTTTATTTTATACCATTAAAGATATATTTATTGTATCATTTTATTATCAATATAAATGAAGAAAAAATTGACATCAATTTAGCTAATGGTTTAATTAAAAATATTCACATGATATAAATATTGAAATTAATGCTAACTTTTTTTATTTTCTTAAATTGAGCTTATTTTCCTCTGTATCAATTTTTTAAACCCAAACCAAAGGTCAAACCATTTTGACCTTTGATTCATAGTTTGAATGATTTAACTGGTTTAATTGATAAAACCACCGGGTTGATTAAACTACTATAAATATATTATTCTACATGACATTTCACAAGGTGTTGTTTGAGTGCAGTGGTAAGTGGTTGATTTGTTATTTAAAAGATCACAAGTTCAGGCCCTTTAGAGAATAAATTTTAATATAATTGTGGTTTTAAATATAGAATAAATATATTGTCAAGTAAGATATAGCAAACAAAAGGTCGTGTCTCAAGTGGAAGAGTCTTTGTTCTATATCATGGAGAATTGGTGTTCGAATCCCATGGCTGTTATTAATAATTTGATTAAAAGCTTTGAGATTACTATTTCATAAATAAAATTCCGAACATTAATTGACACAAGAAATGCATCGTCCTAGTGGTAAAGAATCGAAATAACTCACTTCGAGGTTGCGAGTTCAATTCAAGCCCTTAAGAAGACAAATTTTTGAAGATTTTATGCTCAAGCATTGAATCGTTTGATCAAATGGTTTATCCGTTTAAATGGTTTCAATGGTTTTTATCGGGTTCAAATGGTTTAACCGTTCAAATGATTTAAAAAGTGCACCCAAACTATTTATACCACCGGATGCCGGTTCAACCAGTCCAACCAACCGATTCAATCCGATTTTCAAAACATTGCTTTGTATTTATTGCGAGCAGCACATTATTTTGCTTCCAATAGTGTGATAAAAGATAATCCACCCATTGACAAATTTTTACACTTTATTTCAAAATAATTATCAAGCCTAAATTAAAAATAGGAGGTTAATTATTTTAGATAGATAGTGTGTAAAATGCTTTAAATTATTTATTCAAATATAACTCATAATAAATATTTAATCTTTTTAATTAATTAGAGCTACTAATTATTAGCCTTCTTTAGAACTTAAAACAAACACCCCTAAAACTTTTACCCCCTTCTTTTGTTTGAGGAAAACAAAGGGAAGAGAGAAGGGGAGAAAATTATAATTCCATTTCCTTTTGCTTCCCTCCTTATTTCTCAATTCCCTCCATTGTTTTGGTTAGGCCAAAATTTTTTTTTAAAAAAAGAGGAACGTACCTTCCCTCTTCTTTCCTTTAATTTTTGTTATTTAAATAGAAAAACTATTTATAATAACTTTTAATACAAAATAATGTAAAAAAAAAAAAAAAAAAACATTAAAGTGTACTCTTAGCTTGAAAAATACTTTTATAAGGAAAAAATAAATACTACCTAGCACATACCAAAAATGATAATGATATAAATATAATTTTAATGTATCATTATATAATTAATTTTTTATTTAAAAATTTAATTATAATATTATATATATTTATTTAATAACATATTAAAATTTTAATCAATTAATAATAGTGACATTATAATTATATTATT